TACTTAAATATTTTTGAAATTAATGGACTTTATTTGTTTAAAGTTTTAGACTTAACAGAAAATTTATGCAAAATGGTAGTGTTCTCATACATTCCCCTCACCTCCATTTTTCCCTATGATTAATAGTTTACAATGGTATGGTACATTTGCTAAAATTAACGAACCAACATTTTCACATTATTATTAAATAAAGGCCATAGTTTATTCAGATTTCTATAGTTTTTACCTAATATTCTTTTTCTGTTTCAGATGTCATATTTCAAATATGACATTTCTCCTTAGGTCCCTCAAGACTTTGTTTTTAATGACCTTAACAGTTCCTAGGAGTATTGGTCAGATATACTGTTGGATGTTTCAACTCTTGGAATTTGTCTTATGTTTTTCTCATGATTTGCTGTGGTTTCAGGTTTTAGGGAAGATATATTTGATATTTTAATATTCAGGTCTTCTCTTAAAATCCTGCTGGATAAACCCAGCAGTACCAACTACTTAAAGTGTTTTCTTCTTTTCTGGACCCCTTTCCCAGTGTCCACCTAAGTAATATTCTAATAATACTTTTTAGGTGTGGATTTTACAGTACTTCTATCAGATTTAYCTAGAAGATCCTTTTAAAAAAGTCTAATTGTTATTATCAAAAAGATATTGTACGTATTTACAAGAGTGTGTATTTTTGGTGGGAATATAAATAAATAACTAGCCCTTATGGAAAGCAGTATGGAGGTTTCTCAGAAAACAAAAGATAGAGTTACCATATGATCTAATAATCCCACTTTTGGGTATAAATCCAAAGGAATTGAAAACAGTATGCTGAAGAGTTGTTTGCTTGCTTGTGTCTATGGAAGCATTATTCACAATAACAAAGACATAGAAGCAACCCAGCTATCCATCATTGGATGAAATGGATAAAGAAAATGTGTATACACAATAGAGTGCTTGTTCAACCTTTAGAAAGAAGGAATTTATGTCATCCTCAGCAACATGGATGAACCTAGTGGATTTAATGCTTAGTGAAACAAGTCAGCACAGAAAGATGAATATCACATAAACTCATTTATATGAGGAATCTAAAAATGTTGAACCTAGAAATAAAGAGTAAATTGGTGTTCGCTCAGGCTGTGTGGAAATTGGAGGACTGAATGGGGAAAGGGGCAGTGTTGATTAAAAGGTACAGAATTTCTTTTAGGAAGAATAGGTTTTCATAATCTATTGCACAGAATCGTAACAACAGTAATAATGCATTGTATATTTTAAAATTGCTAAAGTTAGGTATTAAATGTTTTACCACAAAAAATTTGTAAGTCTGTGAATGGATAGATTTGTTAAGTAGTGTAATTTAATTTTCCCATAATGTAAAATCATGCCAATACATCACATTGTACTCCATAAATATATAATATATACAATTACTATTTGTTGATTAAAAATAAAAATAAATAATAATTTAAAAAAATGTGTCTAAAACATGGTTGTTTGGTTTGGGGGGAACAAATGTGGTTAGAAGTTTTTTTCAGATTTTCTTATATTACTATAGCTGAAGTTATAAAGCTAAGTTATTTTATGTGCACATATGGCATTTATATATACTTTTATTTTTGTTGTTATAAATGTCCACAACATAAAATTTACCATTTTAATAGATTTTAAGTGTATTTATATTGTTGCAACTACATGTATCCTTTTCATTTATTAATCTGCTTGGAGATTAAATACCACTGACTGGGTGGCATAAACAAAAGAAACTTATTTCCTCACAATTCTGAAGGAAGTTCAAGATCAAATTCTTGGCAGATTTTGTTTCTCCTGAGGCCTCTATCCTTGCACAGATAACCTTTTCTCTGTGTATATGTGCCTGGGCTCTCTTATAAGGCACCAGTCATATTGTGTTAGGGCCTCATCTTTTTGACCTCATCTAATTTATTTACCTACTGAAATGCCTTTTCTTCAAATAGAGTCAAATTTGGGATTAGTCAGTTTATAAACTAACACCTTTTGTAAAGGTACTTCAAATCCATTTCCTTGAGAATCTGCTATCTTTAGTATTAGTTTCCTAATACTGCTGTAACAAATTAT